AAGTTTCTATATAAATTGTAATTGTCCCGAGTGAAGGATAATTGCTCAGTAATTGAACCAAATAATACCGCCTAAAAGCGAGTGACTAAATGATTGTCAAGATTAAAATTTGAATTAATTACAAAAGCTTATTTGACTTTAACATAAAAATGAATTTATAGTTATTTAAGATAATATACTATGCTTGTCTCAAAATAATTATTCAAAATATTAACCTAACGAAACTCATGGTAATCTATTAACTACTTAATAATAATGATAAATAAATGTATATGTTGATAAGTTGCATATCTTAATTGAGAGTAGCTAAACCTCTAAAATTGGAAAAAAGTAAATTCAAAACCGTAATTAGTGACAAACGGTCGCTTATAAACAAAAGGAAAGTTAAGGCAAATAATATATTTGTTTGAATATAATTCGATATTTCGAAAATTCGATCCAATAATTTTAAAAGATAATTATATATTATTCAGATCAACAGAACAAATACATAACATATTTTTATATAGCTATAATAGTTAAATAAATCACTCATCACAATAAAAAGAGTAATAATTGTAAAAATACTTCTATTATTTTTGGTATTCTTTTAGAAGTAGTGAGAAGTATAAAAAGTAATAGTGAAGTCTGTAGTTAGTTGTAAATTAAGTTTAGAATATAATAAAAATTATAATTAATTAAATATAGTTCCGTTATTGAGAATTCTGTGACTTTTATTTATAACTTAATATGAATCATTTAAAAACAGATTTTAAGTATTGGATTATTTTAATTTATTATATAAATTAATTAACTTATATAAATAAACGCTTTATTGAATCTTTAAATAAATTGAAAACATTTTTAATTATAATCTTATACTCTATACATTTATTAAACAACCCAGCATAATAATTTTTAATTTTTCGTATAATAAAATACTGATTTTCTCTTAATTAAGTACGATTTTAAAAATATTAAATATAAAGTACAAAGAAGCAGTAAATAATTAACTTAATAAATGTATGAAGAATGCATTTTAAGTTCTCACTATTGAAACTCTCGAAAATCATTTTAATTATAACAGTGAAAAAAATATATATCCTTAGTATATATTTATTAATTATAATTATAGTTAATAAGTATGATACGAATAATACTTTAATTAAAAAATATTAATTTTACAATAAGGTTCACGATGTTTAACAAATGTTATCATTTTTGATCTACAGGATATTTTGCCTTACATTTTTTTAAAATCATTATTGTACTCTAATACTATGAAAATATCATCAAAAATAATATATTTATTATGTAAATTATTTTTATTTTAGGAATCATCTAGGGTAAATTATATATAATACTTGGCTTAAGTCAAGTAGTAATTATTACTTGTTGTTATTCGATATATTAGGTAAATTATTGTTTAAACATTTGTCTTCAAATACGCCATAAGTGAGTAAGTCTCCATTAAATTTGTGATAAACCCTATATTGGGGTAAATGAAAGTTCATAAACAGCTAGTTAGTATTCAATTTTATATTTACGGATTTATATTCCATAAATACTCATAATTCTATTGTTATAAACGTATTGTTAGTTTAACATAAATTTAATAATACGAAATAAGAATTTTTTTATATTATTCTCTTATTTTTATCTCTAAAGTTAATTTACTGAAAAATAAAATTTAAAGATATGTTTAAATAATGAAAAATATTGTATAAATAAAACATCTTAAACATTAAAGAAAACTTATAAAAATTTACCTAAAAGAAAAAGCATTTAAAAAAAATGATCTCGAAAATAAAGTTTTAAAGAGTGAAAAAGAACTATTAAGATGGATCATTAAATGGATGATACTCAAACATAATTATTATATTGAGTGTTGGGGCACTTAAATGACTCTTCGGTTGAGCACTTGGTCGGTATAGACTTAACTCTTTAGAGGTCATAATGGTTTGTACGCGATCTTCAACCGACGTGCCTTCTGCGAAATGTTGTACGTTTTCTATATACAGACAAATAACAAATTCACAATTGCTCTCTAAATTGGTTAAAACTTCTTAAAGTTCTGAATTATTGTACGTTGAAAATATTACTAAATAAGAATTGACATGTTACTCACTTATTTTATAATTCATAAGCAAATAGAACTTGAAAAAACACTTCAAGGAATACCAAGAAAACCATTATAATTTAACAACTTTTAATATTAATGTAAAATCCGTACACCTATTTCAAAATCATAGATAAGTTTTTTGATCTCTAAATTTCCAAAATGTCACTGATTTTATTTGTGTTGACCCTCAGCCGGTCACGCGGTTTCAGAATATTAATTTCACCATAAGAGGTAATCATTTTCTGTGATTTTATATACTTGTTAAACTCACTATTTTTAAATTTTTTATATTTAAGAGAAAATTTAATATATTTTGTCAAATTATTTGATTTTATTTATTCATTTTTTTGTTGAATTAGTCAATATACAGTCACCAATATACAACGTGATATACAAAAGTCTAATAATATACATAATCCGTAGAAAATATATAATTATTATTGTTGTTAAAAATCACTAAAGTTTTTAGTGTCAAAACATTCTAGGTAAATTTATCTTTTAAATCTATATCAGCTCAACACATTTAATAAATATTTTCATAAAAAACTATATAGAAACGATAACACTATTTTGCCTTTAGGGGTAAATATTTGCTGAAATAGTTCTCACGTGAATTTAAAATACTGGTATAGAATACACTAATAAAACGTCAAGACCATTCAATTTTATCTAACATTATTAAAGAATAAGAGGGTACAAAAAATCCCAATACGAAATAACACATCAAAATATTTTTGAAACACATTTCAAAATTGCCGGAGTATTTATTTACCCCAGGCGACTGACTAAAGGTTAATAAAATATAGTGGAAGTTTGATTTTTCAATGGTGTTATTGTAGTAACAACATTACAATCAAATCTGTAACTGAATTAACGTAAGCATCACTTTTTCTTTATTGAAAACATATGTATAATTTATAAAACAATCGAATAAAATTGTTTAAACGAAAGTTAAATAGGACATTTTTATATAAAGTTAAATTAATATAACTATATGTTAAAGTGTCAGGACAGAGTTAAAAAAAAATTGAAGCATAGTAATTTTATACTACACAATAAATTAACTTTGAAGTAAAACAATTTATGTATCAATGTTATGTCTTAAAACTGACAACCTTGTAGATTAAATTAATGTCTATTTTGCTTACTTAAAATTGGCTTGTTTGCCATTTTCCATTTTACAGAATCGTGAAAATAATGAAATTACTTACGTATAAACATATTCTTTATCAAATATTTGAACATAAAAATACTAATTTATTTTTTTTTGTAGAGTTTAAACAAATTAATTTAGTTTTCTAAATAATCCGTTAATAAACCACTAAATTTTATTTGTCATAAAAGAAGAATAAACGCATCATAGTAAAATTAATACCTCTTCATGTTCGCATCGAAGCTAAAAAAAATCAATTGACTACCATAAAAATAGACAATTTTATTCGTATAATTACTTATATAAAAAATTATACTGGTTAATCGTATAAAGCGAAAGGGGACATAAGAACATATAAAAAGTGCGTTTAATCATTATATACATTATTTTAAAATGAACGCCCCGTTACCAACACTTCCATCGTATTCAATCGTTGAATTCGATTGTCCATCTAATTTATGTAAACGCATATAGAGGTACGGCGCCCCATTACTATACCAGGTGTTTTACTGTAATTAAACAGTATGGAATTTGGTCACGTTTCATCTGGCACGCGTATGTTCTGTGTTATATTAATTCAGCGAGATTCTAAGTATCGTTGCCATTGGTAGCTCAAAACGTGAGAAATATAACGGTCCTTACTAATAGGTACTTAAGACAGTGGCAATTTGTTTCCCCCTGAAAACGAACTTTTCCAATAGATATAACATTGAAATCTCACGAACACTCTTAAGAATGAACTCGTGTGGCTACCGCCATGTAAGTTATTATGACACTAGACACGTGACGGCAAAAAACGATAATAATAATAATAACATTTTGCATTAGGCGGGCAGAGTTTGCATTTTTCCGGTCTGGCGACTTCATTAAAAACTGCAATATATTTCGGTCACGTAGTTAAATTTGTTCGGCGGAGTGAAAAGCAGTGCGGTGGAAAAACTTAGAATAAATAATATAATGGCGATTGAGATTTCTATGGTGGCGTGTGTTGTGCATGTACAAAAATGCCTATATCGTAAATCTAATAAGTTAGTGTACAATAAGGAAAAAAAAAAGAAATAAAAAGAAAAACTTTGGCGAGTTCGATCATTGCACATACATGCAAGGCATGAGAAATTTTTTCACCCCAACTAGAACTTTTACTACGTTTACCAAACCATACAGTTTTTATTTCTTTTTACTTGTCTTAATATTTCTTGCAGTCTAAACTTTTTCGATTGATCGTTATATCGTTTACGTCATTAACTCCCTAGTGTTGAATTTACATACCGTATAAAATAAAGAAGTTTACATAGTAAGAGTCAATGTATAAAAAAAAAATGACGAAATTAATTTGACTGAATTTCAAATAGCTCAAAACATTTGATGTAATTAAAGAAATTTGAATTTCTGGAAATGTACTTATTTCTTTGAGAAATTAATTCATTTTTCATTGAATTCGAATTTCGATCATGGGAAAAAAAACTGTATTGACTGTCAGTGAACGAAAAATATTTGAAGTTTATGTAGGTGTATCAATACATAAAAATATTCTGCTTTTAAATTGTCATTCAAATAGTTTCATTTTTTGTTATTTTCAGAAATTTTATAAAAATAGAATTGATTCTCATTAATTGTATTCTATGAATCGACTAGTTATATTTAGAAATAAATATATATTCTTGAAAAGTTCATAGAAACGATAATTTTCTTATTAGAAAATTCATAAATGTCGAGTCGTTGGTCTTTTGATTTAATAACACTTACCGTCCTCTGTGTGGTCCAACAGTTCCATGATCGTATGAGGAACTGGATGTTATGTCGGTGTCCAAAATTCTACCAGATTCCATTCCTAATGGCATACTACACTCATCTGAAAAATATAAAACATATTTTTTGTTTAATTCTTGTAATAATGACTTAAATTATATTTTAACGCATCATAATAAATTTTGATCATATAATAAGTATAAGGTTCTAAATTTATTGAATTCTACATTGATTCTATAAAAATCTTAGAGCGTTATGAAGATTCAGTTTAGTTAAAAACACATCGAGTTGGATATAAAATTAATATATGACTTGTTCTTAGGAACCTATGAAATAAGAGAAGCGATCATATTATATAGGAATGTGAATAACGATCTACACTGTGAAAGTGGTTTAAAGTTTGTCAACTTGGTAACTGGAATAGCAGACAATCAGCTTGTTGGTGTACAGGCATTTGAATAGGTCTGTTGATTTATTACGTTCATCCATCATGTTAACGTTCCAATAGTCTTTTATAGTTTTTGAATCTAAATTACTTGTTCACCAAATTCTATTTTATTATTCCGAGAAGAAGTGTTTATTTAAAAAAAAAAATTATATTCTTAACGTTGATCAATTCTAGTTTCATACAAAGTCTTAAAATTAATGTAAATATAAACAATATTACTCCTCGGTCTATCAAAGTATTTTATTATTTTTATTAGTTGATAATATATTCATATAATATCAATCTATTTAGTTTAAATAAGTATTTTAATTGTAGAAATAAAGAAATTAGTTTCACATTTAGTTCTTATACTATGTTTATTTAAATAAAAGATATTTTTGGTAAACTTTGAATACAGAAAGATCAAACTAAAAAAAATAAAATACTCAATCTAATTATTTGAGTTCAGATTAGTACATTATATTTTTATCTGATACATTTTAAAAAGTTATTAAAGTAGTAAAAGTATAATATTGTTAGATAGTTGTAAGTTTATTATTATATTAGCTAACTTAAAATAAAAATGTTTACATGGAATTATGATAAGTTCATATCCATAATTTTCTATTTTAAAATTACATTATATTTTTTTTATTTATCGTATTTTATTAGCATAATCTAAATTTCGTCAATAGTAGTATAACGGAAATTATTAAAAATAAATTATAAATGATAATTAAACGTATTTAGTATTAATTTTAATAATTATATTATTGCCAAAAAGTTCTAAACACTATTTATAAAAATGATAATAATAATTATCCAGTGCGTTTATTGATTAGTGTAGTTTTTTTTGTTGAACTCTAACATTTAGCCCACGAGCTAAATAGTTTATAATAATAGAGTAAAATAGTTACTTCTAAAATTATATCTGGTCGCTTTATTGTATATTTTAAATATTTATTACCAAAATTATAATCCTGCAATGTAATCTATTTGTTATATTAATTATAACGTGTCATCAATTTCAAGTGTTAAATAAGGATCGTGAATATAACGCACGGAAATAAATAATTAAACATAATTTCACATAAGTTTCGGCTGATGTGATATGGGAATATTGCCCTCTATCAAAGTACGACAATTTAATAATAGTTGTTTGCTGACTTTCTTTGCGCGAGTTTCCACTCTTTCTCTTTGTACGTTTTGCCATAACACCATAAGAGCGTATATGTGAATATATTCCCACAGAGTTTGTGAAAAATCCATTACACGCGTGTCGGAACCAATCACAACATTCCTATTTATGTACACATTGCGAGATAGCTTTAGCATAATATTAACGCAATGTTACTTTTGTAATTCGTGTAAGGCTTTTTTGGTGTTTATATCCAACGTGGCGTGTTACCAAGTTAGAACGCGATAAACCCAGATTTGTCATATAGTTGCTGACTTAGGAGTACAACAAGAGATAATATATCGCGCAAGACACAAAAGAAAAATAAAACGGAAAGGTGGGTGAAAAGATTGAGAGAATGAAAGATGTATTAGTGGTGCTGGTATAATATAATATTGTATGTTTGTGTAGGATATTATTATTACCGGAAAAAAAAGACTGTGGTTCGGTGCGTAGAAAAACACCAATACCCAATTCCTGTAGGGAATATAACGAGACAACATATTTACGTCGTATATAAATGGTCCAATAAACCCTAATATGAAAAAGGATACTACTAGTCCTAACCGCTGCCGATACCCCTTGACGTTTTTAACACCGAAAAGGACCATAAAATGTGACGACCACTACTCGTTTCTCTCCATCACATATGTTTATGTACACAAACATATATATATATTACATAAATTTTATATCGTATTAACACTTGTGTGGATGAAGGTTGAATAAAAATCCATACTCTATTATGGGTGGTAAGGTTGTTATATTTGCTCATTGACCAATAAAAATATAGGGATGAGCCATCCATAGTGTTATTTTTTAAATCTTCAACACAAATTTCTGCCATAACTATGTTGTGAAATTTAATTAATTGAAAATCACGTATCAGCACTAAATACTTATCCAAGTTGCTTGCTAATGTTAGTACCATATTTAAAAATTGATTTCAGAAAGTGAAAGGGTTTAAGGTTTATTTTTCGTTTATATGCTAGTAATAATATAAAAAAAACGGTAGCACAGTGAGGTCGCGGCATAGTGGAGACATTGCATAGTAGGGTCCAGTATAGATTTAATCTGATAGTGATTAAAATCACTATCATAAGAAACGCTTCGATGCAAATCTGTAGATAGTGTTTAATTTTAAAAAATTGATGGATAATTGCAAAAGCAACATCAACTTCTATTAAAATAAAATACAAAACCCATAATTATCATACAAAAATAGTATATTTTTCAATATGGTAGCCATTTGCGTATAGAAGATAGATCGTCGGGACAAATTTTTTTTTT